TTTTCCTTCTTCCTTGATGACGAGTCCCCTTCATCTTGTACTTTGAATTTCTGTTTGGACATACTAAAGCTATTTTCGCCTATATTTTCCGTCATATCCATTAATTTGACTATCTTGGCATCTTGACTTTGAGCATGCACTACTAGCCCTTCGACAATTTTGGCTAGATTGGAAATTTGGTCTTCCACAGTTGTGGTATTGGTCATCATAACGGGCATCACCACAGAGGCAGCCGAATCAATTGGGCTATCAATGGATTCATCATGGGCTCCTTTCTTGTTAGGAAGCATCTTGAGGTTTGTTTCTTCAGTCAAAACGTTCGCCTTAGCTCTTTCTGCTAACTTCTTGGCCTTGCTCCTTGTCAGAGGTGCAGTATACTGCGTCTCTTGAATTGTTGAGACATCGGCCACTAAGCCTTCAAGAGAAAAGTTCACCTTCTTGAACTCCATTGAATTTTGAAACTGGTAAGTTGTTGGAAGAAAAGAGATGAGAGGCAGAGATGGTCCCACTGGGCGTGCCAGAAATTTGTAAGCACAAATTTTGTTGCCTAAAATAAAAGACAAGAAAACTTGCACAAATATCAAATTTATTAAATCAAATAATAAGCGGGTTACAATCTCTGAAAGTTCTTGAATCAAAGAAATTAATCCCCTGATTCTTTTCTTCGAATAGCTTCAATTGAAGGGCCGAAAAGACTTGTTCTCCAATCGAAATGGTGTTTCCTACAATTTCGGCGTAGAAAACGACTGATTTGATGATGAAGTTGAACACTTGAAACTCTTAAGTCTTCAACACCAATGGCAAGAGGATTTGTTTGACTTGATTTGGACTTGGATAGAAGGAAAAGCTCTTGAGAGAATTTGACAGAGTTTCTCCAAACGTTAGGGATTTTTTCTATCTCTTTGCCTTGAGGGAAGACCTTTATTTATAGCCAAAATATGTAGGCTAGGTCTTCAAGAAAACTCTCAGAATCTTCCTGCATTTTGGATCACTTGTTACTCAAGAAATCCATTTAACCTGGGCTTAAATAATGGGCCAATCTAAATAGTCCATTGTGAATAAATCAATTAATTCACTCAATTTAAATGGGCATTACAAATTTAATTTGACTTAATAGCCCATATAATATTGGCCCAATTTGACAGTCCAAAACATAATGGACTTGTACAATTTAATTTAATTTAATCAAGATCAATTCAATTCATTTAATCTTGACTAAATAAATTTTCTTTGTCTACAATGTTCATGAGAAATTAAATTACTATATCGAAGAAAATATGTTTTTTTTGTATTATACTATTTAATGGATACTATCACATTGTAACAAATTTACGTATAAAAATTTCTAAAAACTAATATAGTAGTTTAATGTTTGGAGTACAATAATTTTGTTATATAAATATGAATAATATGTAAGTTAAAAATTTGTTCATGAATTATTTGTGCCTTGTGTCAATTGATAACCAATCACAATTGAAAAAAAACATTCATGCTAATGCACGACTAAATAGTTAATACTAGTATCAATTTAAAGTACTACAAGACAAAAGAGGAATTTGCTAGAAGCCAATTACAAATTACTACATAAATAGTTTACCATTGTTAGATGAGTTCAAATTCACTTCATAAGGCAAAAATACTACAGTCCCTTTTAGGTACTGTATCAATATTTTTAATTCAATTACACCTTGACACATCATCTAATAATTTAAACTTTTGAAATCATCCAAAAGTTGATAACTCTTATTCTACATCTAATGGTGAATTTAATCTCATCAATACCCAATGATTGTAGAACTTCCCATATCTATTTTGTCATAAATTACCTTTTAACATCACCCAGTTTGAACTTTTTATGTGAAAACCCCAATTTGAACTTTTAGGAATTTATGATGTTACCGTAAATTTAAATACAACCGAATAACATAGCATTAATTTGAACTTTTAGGAATTTATGATGTTACCGTAAATTTAAATACAACCGAATAACATAGCATTGTCCTCAAAAAAAAAAAAAAGTAGTCCCAAGACCTAAGTTCCCTAGTGACCCCTACTACGATTCTCAAGTCCTTCCCATTTGAATTATCATATTCTTCTTCTAACTTCTTTTTCCCCTTCTTGTCCCTCAAGTATCATTTTGCCTCTATTTTTTTAAGAGGCTTAGAGGCATTGGTACCCAATTCTCCACCTCACCACATCCTACAATATGCAATACGAAATCCCAAGGGAATTTCACCATTTTGGCTCCCAAAGTTTTACTAAAATTAATTGGAAAAAATGGACTTTTCATTCCTGATGTTTAGAGTGTTGAACAATTTCATCCTTAAAGTTTCAGTCAAAACACATTTCATCCTCATAATTTTATAATTTGGATCAATTTCATTTCTATAGTTTCATGCAAACACATTTCATCCTCATAACTTCACAAATTTCATCAATTAAAAAAAATTGAATGATATTAACCAATTTGGATGGAATATCATCACATCACCAGCATGTCCCATTAATATTTGTATTTCTAATAATTAATTTGGTCATTGATTTAATTACACAAATAATAATGAGTGTGTCTAAATGGGATATTTTTTAATGATATGATGTATTTGAGATAAAAAAAAAAGATTAGATGATAGAAACATGATTTGAAAAACATGTATATGATGCAAAAAAAATAAAATTTTGCAAATAAATGACAATTCAAACAATTCTTTCTTTCACTTTAATTTTTTTCTCTAATTGGTTGCAATGAGTTGTTTGAAAATTTTCTCCAATTAGCTATAATGGGTTGTTTCTTCTTCATGACTTCATTTCCTCTTGATCTTTTTGTTCAATTTGTGATTAAGAGATAGTCATGGTGGCTGAAAATTTCTTAATTTTTTTAAAGAAAAGGAGAAAGTAAATTAAAATATGATTTTTGAGATTTTTGTTAATCCAAATTTTTTTTTTACTAATAAGGATGCTGCAGTCAAGTGATGGTATTTCATTCAAATTGCTTGATGGTCCAATCAATTAGTCAAATTTATGAAAATATGAGGATGAAATATATTTGCATGAAACTTTAGGGATGAAATTGGTTGAAATTATAAAATTAAAAGGATGAAATGTATTTTGACTGAAATTTTAGGAACGAAATTGTTCCACGCCCTAAACAATAGGGATGAAAAGTGCATTTTTCCCAAAACTAATTTCGTCCTTCATGATTTTATTAACTAATTTAGTCCTCAAACTACGTTTTTGGGTCTATTATAGGACTTTTATAGCAGTACCATCACAATTTAATCTTTTTCCACAACTAGCAAAAGGGTATTTTTGGATCATCAAGTTAAACTATGCAATATTTTGGTTGAGAAAGAGTATCTCCAATATAACAACCCAAATATATATATATATATATATATAGATATATATATATATAAGTAGCTATGTTAATCACAATGTTTCTCACTCCTATGTGGCTGCCTAATTGAAGAGAATTAATGGATTATGGGTCACTTAGATTTTACCCATACTGAATCCTATTTGGATTATATAATGTGTTTAAAAATTATTTCTAACTTTAAAATAACTTTAAAAAATAACTAATCTTATCTTAACGATATATGCTTTCTATCAAATTATTACAATGATTATATTATATGTTTAAAAAATATCTTTAATTTTAAAATAACTTTAAAAAATAACTAATCTTATTCTAATGATATCTACTTTCTACCAAATTATTACATAGAAATATAGTAAAACCTTTTTAAATCACAATTATTGAAATCTTACATATCCCATAAATTACTTCCTTTCGTCACCATATCATTGATTAGTATTTAAATTGTTCATCATCTCTTCTTAATTTTGAATTAACTTAGTATAAAAAAGAGAATTAATTGTTACACCGATAGATTTATCAATATTATTGGAATTTGAATATTTATTGATGAAGAAAAATGGATTAATAGATCTTTTTCTACTTAATTAAGTATGAATATATAATTCTAGGTTTATGGTCATTATAAAATTTAAATTATCCAAAAGAAAATTTATAAAAAAGAATATCTACCAAATTTTGGATATAGGGTACATTATGTGATGTATATTAACATATTATAGTCAAAGTGTGAAAACAAATTTTTAAAAATTAGTAAATAATTGAACATTTAAAATCCATTAAATTTTTAAAATTAATATGAATGAACATGTACAACTGTTGTTAATTTTTATATTTAAATTATTCATATTTGTATAAATTCACAATAAATAAATAAAAAGACCGTGCTAAGGCATGAGTAAAATTCTAGTGATCCATGATTATTACTCTCCCCTCTAAAATCATCTCATCATCCGTCCTTAAACTGATTAATCAAGTTGATTGCCATTTTAATAATTTTCTTTCTATCTATTTAAATAATGGTAGGGTCTTACTTGATAGGCTTTTGACATTCTTGGTGGAGAATTTTGTGAGTGTTTGTACCAGAAGGGTAGCTACTAGTGGTAGACAATTGGAAGAAAAACAACCACATGGTGCTCTGTGCGTTATATCATACTAGGAGGTGGGTACCGCGCAATGCGCAGTATAAGTTTAAGGATTGCCCAGAAATGTGTAGGATTGTTTAGCGTAAGTCAAAAAGCATGAAGTGTTTAGGAGGAATTTTGTCTAAGAAAAACTTGATTGTTTATATACTTATTGATTTTTTGGTTTGTATTGACCGTATTTTGATTTGCTAGTTAAATTAAATTTCTTGCATAGTAAAAATTGATTCGGAAAGTGGAAATTATTTTATTTGGATGTTTGGCTCAATTATATTTCTTTTAATATTGTGATAATCACAGATAATTAGTGTAGAAATGAGAATTTATTGTAAAATAAATAAGTATGTAATAAAGGAGGAATATAAAGATAAAGAGAATAAAATAGCAAATATAGTTATAATGCGTAGTAATTATGATTAAATATACACAGTGGAAAACACATTAAAGGCAACAGTAATGTATGCAAAATAAGTAGAAGGTCAACCATTGATGTTAAGATTGTTTATGTTAATATTTTCAGCATTAAAAACTTCATCCGTTGAGTAGGATGTGATTATTTCATAAGCTGCACATTTCATGGGTTTGAACTTGGAAGGAGAGGGCTTAATGTAGCACAGGAGTAGCTTTCCTTGTAAAGGATGCGCAAGGTATTGAGCAAGATCAACGCCCTGTTGTTAAAAAAGAATGCAAGAAAATTGTAATGGATTAAAAAAAGAAGGAAGAGAATATTTAGTTTAAAAAAGTATCAGTGGTTACTTCTTGTTGTAAATAGTATAGTTCCGCGGTTGAATACTGAATTAGCCTCTCTACTTCAACATCCATAGCAGTAGCACATAAAGATCCAGTTTTATCAGTGAGTGAAATTGCAATGAGAGCTCTGTAATGAAGAAGCAGGTAGTTTTGCAGTTAGAAATTGAAAGCGAATAAAGCTGGTGATGAAAGGAAGCAAGAGAAGTAAATAATTATGTTTACCTAGGAACTAAATCTATGTTAGAGTGGCAATGCTGACATGTAACTGGCAAATTGCTTGCAACTTTGCTTGGATAATAACAAAGCGGACAAGCTATATAAGTTAAGTTATGATGTATATAATCTAGCTCAACAACACCTTGAATCCAAGCAGTCATTGGTTTCTTTGAGAAAGAAGAAAAGGTAGAAAAATGAGTCAGTGTTAAAAAAAAAGAGGAAAAAGAGCAGTGAATGTAAAGGACAGTATTTGTAAATATAAATATTGAATTAGGAATATTACTTGTTGAAGAATGGAAGCAATATGAGTGATTCGATCATCGTTCACAGGAGGAAGAAGAATGCGCGGGTTAGTGTAACTGCTCTCATTAAGCATTCGTGCTAGCACATGGGCATGGACATGATGCCTATGATAAAACGGAAAAAGTTAAGTTGTCATATAATAAGTGTGATAATAATGAACAAGGTGGTTAAAATTTTTTACCAGTTTTTTAAATGCATCGCTTGTTGAGCGATCGGAGCTACCAAAATCACTGAGTATGATTGAGTTGACAGACTCAAATCTGTTACGTTTGGCAAGAAGAGGGTAAAAGTTATAAAGGTGACAGAGGAAATATTTTTTTGAAATGATAGAAGTTTAGAATACCCTTTAAATAATAAAGATGAAGTATGTGATTACAATAATTTGTTGTAGCTTTGACTCTTATGGCGATGATAATTGGAAAAGGGTCTTCTGCTGTTGCAATAGCAGGGCCATAATTTTCTTCAAACTCATCTTGCAAAGTTAATATCAAAGGTTTCGTACTGTGAAATGAATAACAATAGAATCAGTTATTGGAAATCCGTACGATTTTGAAAGAACGGAAGTGGAAATTAAACTGATAAGTAAATGTTTTACTCTTCATTAGCAATCACATAGTTTCGAGCCACACATGGTGCTCCTTGACCAGGGATAATTTTGTTAGGCAGAGCATGAAGTATAACTCCCATGACAGCTTAGGAAAAGGAAAGAAGTGAACACGTTAAGATTATAAAAAAAATTGTGCAGTAATTAAAATGTGGGGGGAAAAATAAGTAGAGTATAATCATTAACTTACTTATTAATTGTTCAGTATCAGCAATTGTGTCTAGCATAGTAAATGGATATAATTGAAAATGTGAAGGAAGAGAGGGATAATCGAGTTGCTGAATTTGATGAATTGATGTAGTTTCAGTAACAATCCAGTAAAATGGATATTCGGCAGGAGCAGAAGCATCGTGTAATTGGTGAACAAGAGCTCCAGAGATATAGTACTTTTTAAATGGTAGCAGTAATGCAGTAAGGCGATCAATCATATTTCCGATAGCATGCATATTAACTTTTACACCCTGATATTAAGAATTGCTAAAAGTTATCAGGCCATAACTAAATAGTCATGAGTTAAAATCTAAATTAAGCATGTCTTACCTGTGAATCAGCAAGCACAAAGGTGCGAAAGTTTTGCTGGAGGTGCGAATTATTTTTAATATGACTAACTTCTACAACTTGGAGAGCAACTGTCCAGTTTGATGAATGCGGGCGAACAGCAGATAGAGGGATTATTACAGGTTGCATTGTAAGATATCCTATAATAGAAAAGGAAAGAATTAAATGGGTGAAGTACAATCTATACGAGTTAAAAGGGCTGCAGAAAAGATAGAATTGGAACATCAGGAACGGATATGTTAGGAAAAAAAATGCATTTTGAAGCTGGGATATGCTTAAATGAATGGAACTATAATGATAAAAGTAGCAAAAGAAAAGGTGGAAGAAATGAAGCCGGACCTTGGAGTCACCGGAGAGTACAAAGTAGAGAAATCTGAGATGATAATGAGGGAAAATGAAAGAGACGAGAAGGAAGATGTTGATGGTAAAAGTAGGATCAGAGGAAGGAAAGTATTGTATATTGTTGTTTTGTTCTTGTACGTTTTGGTGGAATGCATATAAAAGTAAAATGGTTATGTACTTAACTCAAAGTGACGAATATATGTTATAGAATCTGAAAAGATTGACATGCATGGTGTCATTTTCATCCAATTCCAAAGGTGTAGAGCTGTAGGAAGGACCATTATTGGTGATAAAGTGATCAGAATCTGAAATGTTCACGTGTGTTCATTGTTAGGTAGTGAAAAGTACAAAACGCTGATAAAAGGAATATCTTCAGAGATTCAGTAACTATTTTGGACGTTTGCTGTAATTTTTTTCAAAGGAATGGCATAGGAACTGTTTTGGAGCCTTTGAATATCGGTATTGATAAATTTTAAATTTAGTATTCACTTAAGCATTTGGAATAAATGATCTGCATAATTAACGTTGCATTTATGTAATGAGGTGGAATAAAACTGAATAGTGTTATTGAAAGTAAAAAGGTTCTAGTACATTTTATTGAAGTATTTAAAAAGCCGCAGACGCACGATCAAACAACATAACAGAGGTTAATCACAGCTATAAGCATCTGAATAAATGCTGAAAGTGTAATACCATGGGATTGATGTTGAAGGGCGAAGCTTCTCCAATTCTTTTTCAGATGTTTCCCTCTGATACCAATCTCTGTAATGTTATGGCCAGTTTTGATAAGTACGGTGGGAGTTCTTTCACCATTGAAGAAGCGATCAGTGAATCTTGGAATTTTCTAGTAATCATTAAGAAAAGTTAGAATGAAAAACTGAACATAAAAAAATAAGCTAAAGAAAATAGACGAACATGTACATAATAATAACTCACCATTGAATTTGGTGTTGTTGAACGGAAAATTTGATAAAAACAATGGGAATCAGTTATGTTTTGAGAAAAGTCCGGCTTTAATGATGAAGCCACATCATGGCGGTTAAGTGATAAGGATGTGGTATCTGAGGTCATTAAACAGATAATGTATTGGAAATAATGATAACAGAAATGAATATAGGAAATCGAGCAAAACATATACAAGCCTTGTGCATAGGCAGCGTTATTGTCCAAAATATTTGAGAGCGGAACTGTCCAGGATAAGTAAACTTGTTGGAGTTCAGAGAAATGAATAACGTCGAAAATAAGATTTCCAGCATGGCGAAGCATCAACATATCATGTGTGTTAATGATATTGTCATGGCAATAGTCATCCCATCCTTCTTCAAAGCAGCCATTGACAATTGTGAGAGGCCATTTTTGCAGTCCATATCTGAGGATGATTGTGTTCTTTTGATGTTGATGAAGCAACAGCTGAAACTGGGCGAGTAAAATCTGGGATTGGTTGATGGAGTAAGTAAAAGTAAGTAGAGTAATATAAATATATTATATATGGATAGTCTGAACGTTTTTGTTTTATAAGAAAAGAAAATGTGTACCTGGCCTCTATGGCAACATTTGAAGAGAAAACAGCAAGGGTTTAAGTTGCTGGTTGGCTGTTGAGAACTTGATGGAGGAGCAAACATATTTTCTACTATCAAAGTGGTAGAAGAAGAAGAAGATAACAGGAGAAAAAGTTGGTATGGGGGTATTAATATATATACCAGAAAGATTGCAAAATTTTTGAATGAAGAAAAAATAGCAAACAACAAAGATGGTTGGTTGCAGACAGTTGCAGCTTTTTGTTTGATTTGTGTGCTATTCAATTTTGGTACATCACGTGTTGAATAAAGGACTGACTATATATATGTTTAACGAAAAAAAGAACAAAGTTTTATTAGTATTGTTAACGCTTGCCATAATTCTCTTGATGAGCATAAGTACATGAACTGGAACATGAGAGCATGAAGCATTCAGGATTTTTTTGACAAGGAGAAGTTTATGAGGGACATTAAATAAAGTTGCATATAAATTAGTATGCATTCGGTACACATGTATTACAAGGAGATTAAAGCCAGGTACCCAATGATATTTGTTGAAAGCAAACGATGTTGTAGGAGTTTCAGAAAGTGCAGCAGCTTGCATCTGAGCGTGAATGTATGCACTGACCTTCTGGTCCTACATTTTTGATGAAATGGCACCAGCTGCAGTGATCATTCCCATTTTCTCCCCTGAAGAGCATGACCAATCCTACCGTGAATCTGCATCGTGCACAAAGGCATGGTTAGCAAAGTAAATATGTATGCTTGTTGTACCTATAGCAGCTCAAGCATTATAAGATATATTGAAGGATATATGTCTATTAAAGACAATCATTATTGGCGGATGCCGTCCAAGCAGAAACTGACAAGTATATGTTCCATTTCCTGTAAGTATCTGATACAAATGACCAATAAAAACTTTTTTAGGATGTTTCATTGGGGTAGTTTATTCACAGCTTTGTAGTTTTAACATCCAGTGAAAGAAAATGAAAGCAGCTTTAGATTCATTTAACAGGAAATTACGTCAACCTCAGGTAAAAGAGAGCTTACCCAATGATTAGTAAAACCAGGGAAACCAGCACGAGAACATATTTGGTAAACTGCATATTTGGACTTGAGACGAGCACCGGGTCGAAGTTGGCGGTTTTCCAGGTAACCAAATTGGGGCCGAAACAGTAATATAAATGCAAGGAGAAACGCTGAAATGAAACCTCCACTATGAGCAAAATTGTCAACATGAGGAAGTATGTCAAGAGCCAAGTTGATGAGGATGATGACCACAAGGGTAAAGAGAGCTGCAACCTGACAAAAACAAAAGAAATACTTAATGCAAGAACGCTCGATAGAATTTCTCACAAACAATCAATATAATTACTTGAATGAGACAAATGAAATGCAATTGGATAAGCTAGTTTGCCTATTTTATTAGACTATCATGTGATTTACTACAAGAATAGACATTTCCAACCAAAATTTGAGAAAGGCATATGTTTGTAATAAGGCTAGTAAGTTTCATTAATTAAATCTCACTAATATGATTAGACTTTAGACCAGAGGTGGCTTTTGCACTTCATGTATCGTTATACAAAGGGGTGCACAGCTAAAGGGGTAGCGTTAGTGGAGTGACTAGATCAAGAAGAAGAATGTTGCTCTACCTTATTGCTATAAATGGTCCAGTTAGTAAGCAACTCTGATAGTATTGCACCAAGAAGACCAAAAAGAGCACCAGAAGTTCCTGCAGAGATACTACAATAAATGAAAAGGCATGAGAGTATGCTCGCACCAATTCCTGAGAGGAGGTAGATGGCCCCAACTCGCACTATGTAATCCATTTTTTGAAAAATGTTGTAAGAATAAATGTGAATAATTTACAAAGGTTAAAAATAATAGAAGAAGAATTTGTAAAATAATCTCAATTGTGGTACCAACGACAATGAAATCTTATAATGAGCGTAAGACTGCCTTAGATCTAATTTTTCACAGTAAGAGGTCCTGAACAGTTTGATTGGCCATAATGTTTTGATTGACAATCAAAATAG